GAACCCTCGGCGGGAGTGCCACCGCGCTCCCAAGCGGCGCACTGTAGCAGTGCACCATCGGGCCGGCCCTAGGGTGATTTTTAAAACCCTTTTAATCAGTAACTTCTGAATGCTGTAACCTCTTCAACTGCTTTTAAAAGTATGGTGGCCAAAATTGAATGTTGTACATAGTATAATGTTTCTCAAATGGATTGTGGTCATCCCAGCGGTGTGGAAAGCAAAATATTTATCTCAGTTTAAGAATGAATTTATCCCAAACTTGTTAAGTAAAATTCACTCTACAGAAAATGTGATGTTTGCCCTGTGACAAACCATTGTGAAATCTAAGTTCAGTATTAGTCTAGTTGCTAATAAAAATGAAAGGAGGAAAAGGAATTTAGGGAAGATTTTGAAATAAAATGTACTTGGAAAATAAAAGAACAGTTACACCAAAGTATTAGAGGAAACAAACCTTATACTGTTCCATGTCTGTCCTTTTGTTTCATTGTCATTTTTACTCATCTGTGGACTGGTGGCTGGGCTCTTCTCTTACCCTTGCTGTCTTCTATCTTGTTGAGTTTTGCTCCTGTGAGAACCCTTCCTGCTGACTGTGATGACAGGAAGCACCTGTTCGGGACCCTAGTGGTTTTAATCTCCCCTTCCAACTCTCACTGCCTGTTTCATTTCTCTAAAATTTCATAGAGCTGTTGTAATGATAAAATAATCCATGCCATGCTTCTAGCAAAGCGTCTGTCGGGATGTAGGACTTAATCCACAAAGGGCAGTCTATTATTATTATTTATTAGTATATTTTATTATTAATATACTTACATTCTATAGTTTGTCACTGAAACGCAGTAATAGAGCCAACACCCAAATTTTCTTTTTATTGTTTTCTTTTGTTAATGATGGTGACTTTTTACAGAGATGTAAACACAACACCTGCTAATAGAAAAACTTTCTGTGAGCCAGATTTTCATAACTAGCATAACGTGCTACTGTACATGTTATATAAATCCATCTTATCATCCTAGCTTCATGATTTCCCAGCTTCCAGGTGTTTTAGGTCTGGGGATGAGCTTTAACTTTGTCCATCAAATGTCCCATTTCCCCCAGATTCTTTGAAGCTGATTAAAATAGATAGGTTTTCAAGGTCTTAAATCTCAGAGGAACAAGTACAAGAGGATGATATTTGGTTTGCTCTAATTATAATTCTAAGTATTTTAGATTAAAATGTAATTTCAAAATACTAACATTTAATTTTTTTACCCCACAGTGTGTCCCATCTTTAAAAAAAGTCCAGTTGCCTTCTCTTAGCAAGCTGCCTTTCAAATCTGTAGATCAAAAGTTTATGGAAAAGTCAAAGAATCAATTAAATAAGTTTTTACAGGTAAGCCAAGGAAAAGTTTTGGATATGAGAAGAAAAATTAGTTATTTGTGATTAAACTGTCATCAGTCTAAGAGCTTGCTAGTTTGCTTTTTGTTCTCACAAGCCATGCCAGATCCTTAAAATACCTTTTCTGGTCTTTTTTTTTTTTTTAGATTAAAGTATAATAAACATACAACTGTCTTCATTTTCACAAACTGAACACACCCATGTAACTATCACCTCACCCAAGAAACTGATTATTACCAGTACCTTCCAGCGTCCTTCCCATCAATACTCCCCCACCAAAGGTCACTACTTCCTGACTTCTAACAGCGTAGATTAGTTACAAGTGTTTTGTAACTTGCTGTAAGTGGAATCACACAGTGTGGATTCCTTTGTGTCTGATTTCTTTCACTCAACATTATGATCATAAGGTTTGTCCATAGTGGTGTTTTAGTTGTAGATCATTGATTTTCAATGCTGTATGTTTTCCACTGCATGAATACACTACAGTCTATTCATTCTATTGTTGATGGGCATTTGGCTATTTTCCAGTTTGAGGTTCTTATAAAGAGAGCTTCTATAAAATTATAGTAGTTATCTTATGGTGACTGTATGTTGGGTAATACCTAAGGATTGGGTTTTTTTCAGTTTTTCTGTGTGTTTGTAGCAATTCTTACACCCTCACCAGCAGAGGGTAAGGGTTCTGATTGCTCCACGTCCTCACTGGCACTTATTTTCTGCCTTTTTCTTCTTAGCCTTTCTGGTGGGTGTGTAGTGATATCTCATTGTGGTTTTAATTTGCATTTCCTTGATGACTAATGAAGTCAAGTATTATCCCATATCATTGGCCATTTGGATAGTTTTTTTGGTGAAGTGGCTGTTAAAGTCATGTCTACTTTTTTATTGTGCTGCTTGTTGTTTCTATATTGCTTTGTAGGAGTCCTGAATGTATTTTGGATATGAGTTCCTGTGAGACCATATGTGCTTCAAAAATCTTCTCCCTTTCCATATATTGTCTTTACACTCTCTTAATGATTTCTTTTGATGAACAGAAATTCTCAATTTTAATTTAGCCCAATTTATTCATTTTTTTCTCTTATAATTAATGCCTTTTGTGCCTTTAAGAAATCTTTGCTTACTTCAGGGTCCTGAAAATATTTTCCTAATTTCCTTTAAACACTTTATTGTTTTCCTTCATTCTTTTTTTAAATAATAAAGCCAGACAGAGTTATGCTATCCCCAATAATACTATTTTTTACTGCACCATTTATATCCAGGGTATAGTTGTTACTCAAACCATGGACCTTACAGCCATAAGGTTCTCTGAGGCCTGAAAATTTGCCTCATAAAATATGTTTTGCCTGTGCAATAGTAGCTAGAAGTTCTGAGACTTTTAATAATGGATGTTGCTAAATTCTTAGTAAATGCTGTATTAAGATATAATCATTGAATCAAAAGTATAGGTCATAATTAAAATAGATACATTTAACCCAGAGTTGCCTGGAAAGTTAGTCTCTCTCTTTCTCCTGTAGATGCCTCGCTCTCTCTCCCTTTGTGTATGTGTGAATTTCTCCCAGGAAATAAAAGAATTGCACCTTAGCAGAACTTTTCAAGCTTGGTTATGTCAGGACTGACTTGGAGAATCACTAATGTTTAAATGCTCTTACAGGAGAGAATTTAAAACTATACCACTACCATTTTTATTGCTGATTCAGAATTTCCAGCAAATATTAAATGCACTCAAGCATAGTACCCGATTAAATAATTCAGGTGAATTAAAGATCCCGCTTGTGAAACAAATAGGTATTATTCAAAGTCCAAGATTTTTTTTTTTTTTTTTTTTTGTCTTTTGTCTTTTTCCGTGTCCGGCAACGGATCGCAAC